CGCCACGCCACACGGGCACCGTGGTGACTCTCCCGGCTCGCCACGCCACACGGGCACCGTGGTGACTCTCCCGGCTCGCCACCCCGCACGGGCACCGTGGCGACGCACCTGCCACAAAACGTTGGTCAGGGTGTGAGCCCTTTACCTGTGTGTGTGTGTGGGCAAACCCTAGGGTCCGCAGAGAATCAAAGAGATCGTCTAGGTGTTCCGTGTTCTGTGCAGTAGGTGACTTTCTCTGTCTTGCTCCTCCAGGCCTTCAGTGCCGTCGATGCAGAAGACGGGCTGCGGTTCATGCAGGAGATGATTGAACTGTCCAGCCAGCAGCAGAAGGAGCAGCTGCCCCCCCGTGCCGTGCAGATAGTCTCCCACCCATTCTTCGGGAGAGTGGTACTGACCGCTGGGCCCGCGCAGTTTGGAACGGACCTATCCAAAAGCCACAGGGGGGTGAGTGCTGCGCGCTAGTCTCAGTTCTGACTCCTTTTCTGCCCCAGTCCTTCATCTTCCCCTTTCTTCATCTTTCTTCAGGGAGCTGGAAAATTGAGATTTACTGGAAAAAAAGACCCTTTCAAAAGCGCTAAACTTTCTCCCCTTGTCTACTGTCCCTCTCTCTCAGGTGCAGGGGTACGTGGCCCTGTCAGAGCCGTACAGCGGCTGCTCGGAGCTCAGCAACGCCGCAGTGGTGGCCGGGCACATCGCTCTGCTGCAGCGGGGGCAGTGCATGTTTGCGGAGAAGGCTCGCAACATCCAGAAAGCTGGGGCTATTGGAGGCATTGTCATTGGTGAGCCAAGGGGACAGGCTGGGTCACTACAGATGCACTAATGATGATAAGAATAAGAGAATAAGCCACTCCACTCAAAGCGCTTTACAGTTAATGGGGATAATGGGATCCCCCCTCCACCACCACCACCACCAATGTGTAGCCCACTGTATCAGTGGGGAGAACAGAGTAATGAAACCAGCTGATAGATGAGGATTATTAGGAGGCCATGATTGGTAAAGGCCGGAGGGAAATTTGGCCAGGAAACCGGGGTGACACCCCTACTCTTTTAGAGAAACCCTGGGATTTTTAATATCCACTGAGAATCAAGGCTTCAGTTTTACATATCATCCAAAGGATGGTGCCTATTTTACAGTATAGTGTCCCAATCAACATCCTGGGGCATTAGGACCCACACAGACTGCTGGGTGAGCATCCCCTACTGGTCCCACTAACACCTCTTCCAGCAACAACCTTAGCTTTCCCAGGAGGTCTCCCATCCAGGTACTGACCACCTGCTGGCTATACAAAGAAAGAGCTACATTTGTAGTGATGCCAAAAAAAGCCGTGGAACACAGAGACACAACAGACATGCGTAGAGATGTAAAATGTAGAGAGCATACTATTCCCCCCTTCACAGGGTTTATATACCTGGGTAAAGTACCCCACTGAAAGTACAGCAGCAGTGTCTGCAGTGTGGGCTCGAACCCACCACCTGTCAACCCTGCGTCCACAAGACACCCCACTCTACTCAGTAGTACATTGAATAAAGTAAAAAAAAATAACTTTTACAAATGTATTTGGATAGCTACCATAAATATAACATAATTACTGTTTTTACTTAACACATGTGAAATAAATGGGAGGTGATGGGGATAGAGAGTGTTACTATTCTGTATTACTATTGGCTGATGCTCTGTTGTAATTTCTCTGATATCTATTGGTTGAGTCTTGACTCTTGGGTTCTTATTGGTTGATGGTTTTCTTTGTGTGTATCTATTGGCTAATGGTCCGTCCCCTGGGCGGGGTCCTGTGTCTGTGCTTGCCTGTTGGCAGATGACAATGAGGGCAGCAGCAGTGACACCGCTCCCCTATTCCAGATGGCGGGGGATGGGCGGAGCACCGATGACATTACCATCCCCCTCCTCTTCCTCTTCCATAAGGAAGGCAACATCGTGCTGGAGGCCCTGAGAGAGTACAGGGAGGTGGAGGTGCTGCTGAGCGACAGAGCAAGAGACAGAGGTGAGCGAGAGGCGGGCGAGGCATACTCAGTGATGGAGTGAAGTTTCTGAATCATCTTGGTGACAGGGAAGGAGAAAAGGGGAGAGTGCGAGGATCTGGGGTGAGATGTTAGCCTGCCCCGCTCTTGCTCCCACTCTCTCTCCTCTCCTCTGGGTAACTATGTGCTTCCTCTCTCCTGTGCTCTCCTGTGGGATTTCAGCGGCCATATTTAAAGGGAAAGCCCTCCCCAGCTACATCTTGGAGAGCAGTAAGTACTTCCCTCTTCCCTCCTCTCTGTGCTGGACAGCAGCCTAGTCCAGCCCAACTTCAGCTGCGTCAGTCTCCTCTAAATTAACTTGCTACAATCTGGCCCATCCAGGTCCGGTACAGGCAAGTCCTGGTTCTGGTTGTGGTTCTCCTGGTTGTTGGTAGTGCCGAGTGGCACTGGACTGTTCTGGACATTCAGGGCTCCTGCAGTACTGTAGTGGTCTTGTGCACTTTGACCGATATTCCAATGATGATGCACCACTCTACACCACCATAACTCTTCAGCACTCGGGAAAAGCAATGTACAGCCATTCCTCGATTTACCAGTGTTTTCTGTGTGGAAGCATGCCTTTTAACCCCTGTTTTTCTCAGTTACAAAGTGATTTTTGCTACAAGAAGGTGTCCTTTGCACGCTCTACTTACAATGCAGTAGTAAAATAAATTAGTATTGTAAATCCCACCGATCTGATGTCGATTTAAAAAGGGACACAATGTTAGGAAATGGTATATTACTTTTAGTTTCTCTCTGCTATTAAAAAAAAACTTTTCACCTGCTCTGTGAACAGGAGCCAGAGTGATTTAGATAATGGTCTTATTATGCTATTTTTTTCAAATAAATATCACATTCATTCTATTCCAAAGGCTAGTTGTAATTAGGAATCGAAATCCACTTCAGGTCAGTTTAATTGTAAGAAAAGAAAACAACCATTTCACCTGGAAATCAGCAATTCTTGACCTACAGTCCTCTGAGCAATCATTTCTGACCTTGCTGAGGTGGCGCTTCTCCAACAGATTGCTTCTATCAACCATAATTTGTCTGAAACAAATTAAACGGTATCAGCTGTATTGGCGAGCATCTTCTGGCGGACGTGTAGTATAAATTATCACACACGCAACCTTGGAGCACATCCAGAGCTGTGAATCCAGCAATCCCAGGGCCACCTCAAAAGCGGTGTCCTAGCCCTGATCTAAAGAGAGGACATTTGTGTAAGAGCTTATGGTTTTTTATTGTTATGTGATACACCCTTTGCATCTTGACCAAATGCTTTTATCCAAAGCGTCTTACTGCCGCATCTGCCAAATGGAAGAATTTAAATGGGATGCAAACCCACCTGAAAAACAAGAAAATCATTTTGTGTTTTAAATAAGTTTGCACGTTTTGTTATTTGCAGATTTTTCTCTTGGTGTCATTTTTAGTTTTTTAAACGGTGTTTGGTTTCTTGGAAGTATGTGCACGCTGTCAGGCGTGGTCAGTCTACTTCGGTGTGCGGTACCAGTGAGAGTCAGTGAGCATCGAAGTGCTTCTCTGTTTGTGTCCGGATGGCTGGCTTAAACCAGCATCACTTTGACCCCATCAGCCTGTATTAGTGAGCGTCTGGCCGCATCTGGTCTCGGTCAGGGAGTATGTGTCCGTCTTTTTCCATCAGTTGTGTGTCAGTGTGAATCAGTCTGTGTCGGTCTGCTTTCCAGTCTGGCTCAGGTCAGTATGTGCTCATGTGTTTGTATGCGAGAGTTGAAACTAGTCTCTCTGTGTTAAGAAAAGAGAGTGCGGCACCAAGATATTGAAACCAGAGCAGTGTTTATCTCAGCATGGGGCCTAAGTTCTCCTTCTGCCTCTTTTGGAGAGAAATGAACAGCATATTTGAGTTAAACAGGGGCTGCTCTGAGAATTTGACATTTTTCTGTTGGGTGATTTTGCTGAATTAACTGAAACTGTAAACCCTAAACACCTCTTACAACGTTTCCCAGTTCCCTTTATATTCCCAGTTTTCCTTAACCATTTGCCTATTTTTTTCACTCTCTGTACTGCCTCTTCCCATCAGTATGATGTACTTTTATATCTCACGTCTGTCTGTCTGACAGGTGGGGAATCTGAGCGAACAGAGGAGGAGGACTGCTCTGCGGAGGACAGGGAGACCGTGGCCCCGCCTCATTCCACAGACACCGACCAATCAAGTGCAGGCACAGTCGAAGAGCACCAATCAACAGGGCACGAGGGGGACCAGAGGCAGGAAGCTGAGGGTCAGGGCAGCCAAGAGGCGGACCCTGTCGTGGCTGAGGACTCCAGTAGCCAATCTATAGACTCTTTGCTTGCTGACTGGAAGGAGGATCTTGAAGCCTTTCAGCAGATGGAGAAGGATGAGCTCTGACAGCGGCCCTCTCCCCACATGGTATGACCCTGACTAGTCCACAGGCGTTTGCTGCATGTCTCCACTGCACTCCCCAGCTGGGGAGAAGAGGGCAGTGAGCTGGAGTAAATGGGGAACATCAAGAGTTTAAGGAGGAACAGAATCAATGAAACACACCACAATTCCAGCACCTCCTTCCTGCTCTTTCCATGGTGTCCAGGAATATTATTTTTTCTTATTTCAGGTGGATTTCAATTTAGGCCCTGGAATCGGGATTAATTGCAAATCCTAGTTTGTTTATTTAATTAATCGTATTGACTTGAACGGTGCACGATTCTTGGTATCCAGGGCTCCCTGGTCCTCAGTCCTGAGACTGCAGCTGTAGACAGTCTACCTCTGGAAATGCAGGCAGGTGGATAGGACTCCCCCTAGTGGAGCACATAAACCACTACAACCTTGACTGCTGAAAAGTGGAAGGACCAATTGCTTTGGGATAAACTCGGCTGATCTCACAGAACCCGCTTTCCTGTTCTTGTTAACTCCCCTCACTGATTTTTTTTTTGTCGCAGAATGAGCAGTCACCCCAGCCTCTCCCCAGAACGCACTCTGAAACAATGCGGGGTGAGAAAGGGGACGAGGGGTCAGTCAGAGGCCCCAGGTCCATAGCAAACCCCAAGTCAAAATTCAGTAAAACCACACTAGCCTAAAACCAGCATTCGCAGTGCAATCGGGGCAATGAAGGAGAGTTTGGATAGATCTTTAAAGTATTAACTGAATAAGATGAACTAAGACGCGCCCTCTCTTGTGTACACACGTTGTGCAACAGTAGTCGGGCCAGCGGCAGAGCTGAGGGTTAGGGAAAGTGCTACGTTTTCTGGCAACATAAACATCTTTCCAAAAGAAAGGAATAAAAAAGCCCTGGCTCAATCGGTTGAGGTCAGGGAGAATGTAACCGGGTTCTGTGTAAGAGCTTGATTGGACCTATGCTCTGCACGGTGGCGACAGTGCCATCCTTGGCTCGCTGAAGGTTCTGCTATTCCACTGCTGGCCAGCAGGGGGCACTGCTGCCCGCTGCTCAGGGAGACTGAGCTCAGGATGACTGGAGTTCCACCAGTGACGGACTGGAGAAGCCATGCTAGAATTAAAACAACAATATCAATATGACTATTAATTAAATAAAAATAATTCCCGAACCCTAATGAAGTCTTTCTTCCTCCCCCGCACCTCCACACACCACAGAAAGATAGAGGGAGTGAGAGAGATGGCCAAAGCCAGGGAGTTCAGGGTGAGGACAAGGGGGGAGGAAGTCGAATGGCCTCTTGCCCTCCCTCTCACTCCCTCCTTCTCCCTCTGCTGAAGGAATCTCAGAAATGCGGCCTTTCTCACATGGGCCGAGACTCGAGTTGCTTTTCCAGAGAAGGAGATACACGGTGGCGTTGTCTGGAAGGGCACCCACGCGCTCTCACACGCACGCAGCAGCACGAACACGGGGACACTGGGGCCAGGAGAGCCCCTGCTCAAACCCGGGAGGAGGCGTGTCTTCCCGCGGCGCTGACGCAGGCCCCTCTGGCTCGCGCGCATCTCCCTTGGGGTTGGGGGGGAGTGCCAGGGCCATCTTCGGCCCTCAGAGCCAGGATGGGTGTGGGAAGAGGCAGGAAAACCCAAACCTTCCCAGGAGGAGGGCAAGAGCAGGCAGGGGAGTGAGAAACGGGGAGGAGGGAGGAGAAGAAGAGGCAGAGAGAGGGCTACAGCGGAGCGGCCCTCTTGCTCGTTTGTGTGTTTATTAGCGGAGAAAAGAATACCCAGCCGTCTCTCGGCGACCTCAACCGCCTGACGGGGAAGCCTGTTCCACACACCCACGCCACTTTGTGTAAAGAAGCATTTCCTATTCAGCATCCTAAATGCACTCCCTGTCCGTTTGCGGCTGTGGTCCTGCGTCCTTGTATCCCTGCAGGTGCCAGAGCTAGATTATAAGCAGAGAAAACAGGGGCAAGTCCCATGCCTTCAGCCACGGTGTGTGACAGCCCTCAGATCAGAGCCAAGGCATCTCAGTAACTGAGATGCCTTGTATGTAGTTTACTTTCACCATTCCTGTCTCATCAGTGTTTACTGGCCAGACTCTCAGTCCACAACAACTTCCCTGCCCATTGTCTCATCAGGCATAACCAATCGGTTCCACGGAGCAACCGAGAGAAGGCTGTGAAGCAGTGCACTAAAAGGCAGAGAGAGGGCAAATTCAGATTTTTACACCGCCAGCTCAGGAGGCTGCCGGTGGAGAATCCGCGCTCGGACTATGTAGCTGGACAGCCTTGCAGATATAGCTGTGCACATCCGATAACACCGTCCTCATCACCGTGGAGGCTTTGCGGGTGCTGTATGATCTTTGTAATGTTGATTCAACACATTTGCATCACACTGTCCCGAATAGTGCAGCTCCATTCCGTCACACTGTACAAACTGTGCAGTAATAACGCCTGCTAAAATACTGAAAGCGTTGTTTGTGGTTTTTGGTAGATCTCGTTTACAGACTTGCGTATTTTACTGTCTAATAGTGGGAATTATGTTTAAATGCGGAGTAATTTGTAAGTAAGTGAGTAGTGCTGGTACGCACGCACGGACAAGCCCGATTCCCCTCCGTCCGTTAAACACGTCAGACCACACTCGGATAACTCTCTCACGCCCCCACACATTGTTTCACTCGCACGCTCGCCAGGCGCTGTGCTCGACTGCTCTGGCCTGGCTGTTGTCCACGCAGGGAGCGAGAGTCTCGGCGTGGCCGTGCTCGATTGCTGGGGTCTGGCCGCGGTGGATCAGGACGGAGCCGCAGTCCAGAGCTCGAGATCCCGCCCGTCTGTCCGCCGGAGGCTCACGAGCTGCGGGGAAGCCCGGACGAGCGGAACCGGCGGTACAGCGAGGTCAGCCCCGCTGCGGCGACTGTGCCCCGGCTCACGCTGTTACCAGTGCTGCTATTATTTGTCGGAAATCTGCTTTCCTTTTGTTGCAGTTTCTATTGTTATTTCCTGCCGGATTGATATCATCAGCTCGGGGCTTGTTGGATTGCGGTACACTCTTCACGGCTCTAGTTTGGTCTGAAGAAACGCTCGTGGAATAAGTTTGGGTGAGATTTCGGGTTTTTTTTTCCTTAAGAGGGGGTGGAAAGGCAAGGTAGCTCTCGAGTCCCAGTTGTGAAAAATGGGGATCGGGAGCCCAGTTTAGCGGAGAAATGTAGCTTGTTATTATGCGATTCGTTTGTTCGGACCTGACCCGTCTTGTTGTGATATCTTCCTCGCCCCTTTCATTTTCTTGCGTGGCCGTGGAAGAAGGGGCGGGCGGGGGGCTACAACCTGGACACACTGTGGTGTAAGTGATTGGGTGAGCATTTAAGCACACCCAGACAGTGTGAAAAATGGAGCCCGGTGACACGGGGTCCCCGAATCCCAGCCTCTCATTGGCAGCGCCGCGCACATAAACACAACCAAACGCGCTGCCGGCCGGGGGTCTGTCCCGAGTGCTTTCTGCGGTCCCCACCGCTGTCTCTCGCCCGCCAGAGATTTGGGTAAATATGACGTTTATTAATTGGAACTGGGGGCGTGCGTGGTGCTGGAGAATTTTTCTCATCCTGTCTTGTCTGCTCCGTGTGTGTGTGAAACCGGTTCCGCAATAGTGGTGGTCCGTTAACGCCGTGGGGTGTGCATGGGCACGGGTTCGAGAGCTGCCCGCCCTACCTCGCTGTCTTCGGGGTCCAGATGTGGCCGGCCAGCTGCCGCCGCGGGGCCTCCGGCACGGGGTTGCACAGAGAGATCATCACAGGGCCATTGTCTGTGGGCGAAAATGCACACATCTGTATGCTTCTAACAAACGAGAGCGGGTGCGCTTGTGTGTGGCGTGATTGTAACGTTGTTTTTTTTTTTGCCGGAATGTGACTGGTCCGACGCTCTTTCTCTGCTTCATCCCCCCTCCCCCGAGCCCCGCGGTACTGAGACAGCTGTGGTGAAGCCCGAGGTGTGTACCTCGGTATTCAGAGGTGTAAGAGCGAGCCGGAGCAGGGGAGGTTCACGCTGGTGTGCGTTGGGCACAGATACAGTCCAGGATCTGTGACTGTACTGCGTAAACAACTCCTCCAGACATCTCCAAATCACCATTGTGTCTCGCCTGTCAGCTCCCTGCTTCGCCTTTCACAGCCGGGGCTGTTGGCAGAAGAAGGACTGCGCTCGCTGGTCGTCTGACAGGCTGCGTATTTTTCGTTTATAATTACAGAAATATGAAGCGTGTCTCCGGCAGGGAGCAGAGCCTAAGCCGTCTCGTAATGCCGTTTTGGTTAAGTCGATAACATCTGCTAAACGGGATTCCGTTTCCAAGTGAACTCTGATGTTGCAACTAAAAAGCCAGCAGTGAGCCTAAAATTATCCAGCTCAGTCCTGGAGACGCGCATGTCTTTCAAAATAAACTCTGTCGCCTCTGCTTCGGAGGAAGGCGTTACAAGTGTATTTGAATTCGCACTCTCCATTAAAATACATCCATTAATGCACTCGAGTGGCTCCGTCATAGGCATTCCAACGTGTTGACCAGAGCTCATCATACAACCATTCCCTTTAAAACAATCCCAGTTTCCGGTTAATAAAAAGCCCACGTAAAAAAGTGTGTTTGCACTGCTCTTGCCGACGGGAGGATTTCGGATGTGCTGCGGCAGGTTAGGACACAGCCTAGGGTTGTTTGAGAGAGCTCTGACTCTCCTGGGGGAGGGGGTAGTTTGAGTCTGAGGGATACCCACTAAGACGGCTCTGACCACTGCCTACTGACCGGCCTAGACAGTGTTGACCCCAGAGCTTGGTTTGAGTCTGAGGGGATATAGTATGGTAGTAAAGTACCGGTGACCAAGAGGTTCCCAGTTCAAGCTCCAGCCCACCCAGTGCTCAGCTTATCTATACCTGCCTGTGCTCTGTCCTTCTTCTGAGATGTGAAGCACAGGCAGTGAGTGAGCCAGCAGCAGCAGTTACAGATGCACAGGTAGTGTCTGATAGATGGGGGGGCCCAGAGGAAAATAAACAGGAGTGAGGAGGACAGGCAGTGAAGGGCTTAATCTCTTCAGTCTTGGTAGGCAGGCCAGAAGGATTCTGCACCAGGACGAGACGCACACTGGCTCATTCTTGTGGTCTTACTCAGGAACAGAGGTACCCTGGGTAGCAGCTGAGTCGCTTTCCACCTTCGAACAGATCCTAGCGGTCTGGCGGGAAGGATCCACACGTGAGATGCCTGTTGCACTGGGGCGCACTGCCCCGCTGGCACAGGGGCTTGTGAGTTACCCTGCAGGAAGCCCAGCGTGGCGGAGAAATGCATTTTTGCCAGTTGAGAATGTTCTGAGGTCTGTATAAGAGTTTGGAGGCATAAAAATGTTTCTTCTTCAACTGGAAGAAGTGCCCGGTGATGAATTTCTTGTTGGGCCGCACGTTTCCATAACATCTAGAGAGCAGATAATTCACTCCAACTCCCTGTGTTGGAGCTGTTCTGTGGATTGGCAGCTAAATGAGAAGATAGACTGACAGACTTTGATATAATGACTTAGATCTTCAGCTGTACCTACTCTTTGAGGAGCTATAAATAGGTTCACGCTGCGTGCACCCAGAAATCTCTATCTTCGCCTGCTTCCTTTTCCTCCGGCTTCTCTCCTTCTTCCCTGAACCCTCCCTCTTTCCTCTCCACTCTACTCTCTGTTGTCTCTTGCAACCTGCAACACGGCCCTTTGCATCTGTTTCTTGTTACAGCAGCGAAAAAAGACAGAGCAGATCCGAGTGTAGTTACTGTCTGAGATTGAATTTGCTATTTATAGCTGCCCTCTCTCCCTCCATCCTCATCTCTCCCTTTCCCCTCTCCCCCTCTGTGTTGTGCTGGGTTTTTGGATGCTGCTGGGTTAGGTGAAATATGGCCTAATTTGGAGGTGATGCAATGTGGGAGTGACATCACTCACTGAAGAAGGTTGCCATGGTTATTGGACTTTAAGGAGGGAGGGAGGGGCCTGGGTTGAGGGGGGGGGGGTCTGTGTGTGTATTGGGGGTAATGTGGGCTGGTAGTTGTATGTGTTCTGGGATGCCTGAGTGTGTGTGTCAGTGCATGTGTAATAGACATTGATTATGCATGTATGCTTGTTACATTGGCTGATGGCACACGGGTAGAGGCGATAGCCAATACTATTAATGCCTCCCGGCCCATGTCACTCTCGCACTGCATCACCTCTGAGGTAGGCTGGGTTTCATCTAACACAAAAGCCCATCTCGGAACAGAGGGAGAAAGAGCAGGGCAGGTGAGAGGAGAGTTTGAAGCAGGACATTTTGCCATCTAGCAAAGCAGTAGCCATTGATTCTCCATATTCGGAAAAGACCACTCTTTAGTTGCACTGTTTGTGCTGTAGGGGTGTTTGTGTTTTTCGATTGTTGGCAACTTATTCAGAAGCCGAGTAGCGCAGCTGGAGCTGCTAGGGTGTCTGCTGCTGGCAGATCTGCTGATTGCTCTCCGGCAGCTGTAGGGAAAAACAGGTGTGCTGCTTCCTGAATCCCGAAGAAAGAGAAGATGGATGTCCGGATCAGTTTGGGATCAAACACTATGTATGTGCATAAAAACAAAACAAAAGCAGCCCCCACCTTAAAAAAAAAAAAAAAAAAAAGGGTCCTAAACCGGTGATCTGCAGCTCGCGCGACGTGGGTATTTCTGGAAGAATCCCAACAGCTGGACCGAATCTGTCAAAATGGCTACAAAATCCTGTTGCTGAGAAAGTAAAGGAGCACCGCAAGATCGCGGCGCCGGTGAATCCCACGTTCAGGGAGGTGCGCTCCATTAATCACCAGTACAGCCGCGCCGCTGCTGGGTGCAGGCTGTCAGAGGAAGTCAGACACGGCCGCCTGTTCCGGGAGTCCTGGGAGCCCCGTCGTCTAACAAGGCAGCTCTGCCTGAGGACCTGCAAGCTCGAGGCACCGGTCCCAGCTGCAGGTCATGCCCGAGCCACTGTCTGGGAACACGACCAGGGAGATCGGTGCCAGAGAGCCTGAGCTGAGGCGGCTGACTTGAGCCAGAGAGCAGGCAGGCTCCTCGCAAACGCCACCAAAGTCCCAGCTCATGTTGCCCATGACTTTGGAGTAAACGACATGCCTTCCATCCATCTTTAACCTCTTCACCCTGTTCAAGGTTGTGGAGGAGCCAGAGCCTATCCCAGCAAGCAACGGGCTCAAGGCAGGGTACATCCTGGATGGGACACCAGTCCATCACAGGGCACACATGGACACAGACACGCCCTCCCACCAGGGTCAGTTCTCCCAGAAGCCAGTTAACCTACCGGCAGGTCTTTGGACTGTGGGAGGAAAACGGCAGCACCCGGGGGAAACCTGTGTGAACGGGAGGAGAGCATGCAAACTCCACGCAGACAGCATCCAGGTCTGGAACTGAACCCAGGGCCCCAGCGCCGTGAGGCAGCAGCGCTCCCTCACACGTTCCACCCGATGGCAAGTTCAAAGCCCTTGGAAACGAGCTGAGGTGTAGGACCGGACCAGCGGCTGTCACAGGGGTCCCGTCTGCACCGCGTGCCGGTGGGCAGGGGGAATGTTCATCCGTCACCGCAGCACTGGGCTGAAGAAGGCGTCGCACGCTCTCGCACGCTCTCGCACGCTCTCGCATGCTCCTCTGTGGCTATCCCCCTCCTGACCACACGCATGGGCCTGAGTGAGGCGGTCACTGTCAGTTTGGCACAAGGATTTACAGAGAAATGCCAAAACAAAGAAAGTATGCGAGGGGAGATACACCAGGAGCGAAGTAATAACAATTCCTTACACTCGTAAAGCAATTTTCTGGACACACCACTCCACCGCAACCAGTGTGCAGCCCCACCTGGATGATGTGACAGCAGCCATAGTGCACCAGTATGCTCACCACACACCAGCTATCAGTGGGGAGGAGAGCAGAGTAATGAAGCCAATTCAGAGATGGGGATTATTAGAAGGCTGTGATTAGAATAGGCCTCGGGGAAATGTGCCCAGGACACCATGGTTACACCCCTACTCCTTTAGAGAAACGCCCTGGGATTTTTAATGACCACAGAGAGTCAGAACCTCGGTTTATGTCTCATCCAAAGGA